TTGTATCAACTGAAATTCAATCGCAATATAAACATATTAATTTTAACTTAACCAGATTAAGCTATTGAGAGATAACATTAGTACTATTATTCCAGTCTAGTTCGTTATAATCTATTATCTATTATTAAGAAATATTAGTAAGCAATAATGTCAACAACTTTTTAAGGACTGTGGTACAAAAAAAATGAGAAATTTGTTAATATCAATGAATTATCCTTAATATTTTAATATAAAATGTTGAGTAAAATGTAACTACTTGTCTATTTTAATAGGTTTTACCCCACAAATAAAAATTTGATGAGTGAATTACTGATTTGTATATGCTGCGGTTATTACTATTTGCTTTGACGTAATAAACAAGAAAATCATAGAGTATTAAAAGGAATAATAAATAATGAAAACACAAGCAATTTGATTTCGGATTTATTTCGAGACTCGGAATTTGAAATCTACGAAATGTGCAGTATCCCGAAATTTTGAAATCCCAGTATCTCGGGATTAGGTTCTGTCGCCAACGTGACAAAAACAAAGCTGTTTACAAAATGTAATTTTATCGGCTTACCAAATGCTGATTTACGGGAAAATAAATTGCGGCGATCCAACAGCAGTAATTGGAGGTTTTATGGATAAAACGTCCCTGGCAGATAAATATAATAGGACAGAGAAACGGATGTTCCAGGAAAGAGATATATGAAGCTTTTTATTACCAAATTCAATATATAGGTAAAATTTTCACTGAATATTGTTGATACTAATAGATATTCAATAACCGTCATTATGGAGGTTTATTAAAGTCAAGTCAAGCCTCGATATCTCGCTCAATCCATTGAATTATTATTGTTTTTCATTAATATAACAAAAATGTAACAAGTTCTTAGATAACATATTTTTAATTCCAAATATACCATTTGTCAGGAACAAAATAACGAGAAAATAAACTTTAAAATCGAGTTCAAAGTTGTAAAGGCGAGAACATTGTTCCTGCATAAAAAAAAATTGTGCGATTATGTTCTCGGATACTTATCTCATTTAATTACTTAATTAGGTAAGTATATCAAAAAAATTAAGTTCATGTAAAGGAAACGAATGAAAAATATCTAAGTCCGTAACTTCTTAGAAAAGCCAATTTGTACTAAGGTATTTTTTTTAATCGGGTTATTCTTACCCAAGGAAACTATTCCTAAAGTCGAAATTATAACAGTAGATTTTCTGGACACTCTGTATGGGTATGTATCAAATTATCAAAATTACCTTTCATTATCTAACTTAAATAAAGAAATAATGATTAATGAGAAACGTTCAAGCAAGCTCCAAACGAAAAAATTAACATTTGACCTAGTTAACAGTAAAATAAGTCCATTAAAACCGAGAAAAACAACCAGAATTGTGATACATACCTAAATATAGGGAGTAAACAAATGAATCGAGTTATTTACAATTCTGTAAGGTAACGCATAGTAAAGATAAAAATATACTGTTTTCCAGCGTAAGTGTGGGATTGTACAAGGTGTCTCAAACTCGAAAGTATGGGTCTACTGTGAGGATAAAAAAAAATTAAATAAAATTTGGGACACGTAGCGTTAAATGGGATGAGGTAAGCTCCATTTTCAATCGAAAGTATTATCTTTGGGATTTGCCAGAAACGACTAACGATGTCATTAATTATATTTTTTCGAGAAACATACCTAAATTTTTTTCCTGTTAAAAATCTCTTTTTTCTAATAAACCTTTATTAGAGAAATTTTTCTGTATTGCTTCCCGTTTAAAAGTTATAAGCAATATCGTCCTAAAGAGGCTCAAAAGAAATACCACCTAAACATTACATTAATTGAATGTTCGTTGTTCAAAGTGCATAAAGGTTACAAAATATTTGTCATTACTCAATACGAACGTCAAACGTATAACTTTTGTGCTTACAAAATATTTTCTCATTCAGAAAAAGTTGATATGTTGCTAATTTACGGCGAGTCACAAGAAAATTTAAGAAGAGCTGTACAGTTACATCGATAAAGGTATCCAGAGCGCCTCATTCCCGATCATAGAACCTTTACAAGATTGGAGGCGACCTTGCGACGAAATGAAGATTAATTTTCTGCTGGGAAATATCAAATAATTGACCGAAGGGTAAGGAACAATGTTAATACAGCTAGACTGTTACAGCATTTCGAACAAAATCCACGAAATTCTATACGGCAGACTAGCGCGAAATTGAATTTGGATAAATTAGCCGTTCAACGAATTTTAAAGACCAATGGATATCATGACTACAAAATTCAAAATTTGGAGTATTTGCCTGAGCGTCACATTCGAAACAGACTTAATTTTATACCTCAAATTGTAGTAAATGTAAAAACTGTTGATCAAAAGAAATACAGCGTAATAAATATCCCAATGAAAACAATAAATCTCGCAATAAATAGAAGAATGTTATGGTTTGTTTTTACTACAGGCTATAAATGGACCGAAGTATACGAGAACAACATTCTGCCGGAAGTGTAAAAGCTGTCGCTAAATTATAAAATTCTTATGTGCCCTCAGGTGGAACAACAAATATATGTAATCAAACATGTATTGATCTATATTTTAAAAACGGAAAGGAAAACTTATTTACAAATTTTTTAAAACACCTCGCTTTTATACATACTATATCTAGAAAATTTCTGTGGAATATGCGTATCAAGACTTACACCCACAAAATAATAAAATATTGGGAAAAACAAATTACTAGAATCTATGATATTTTGACGATACTTGCTAAACTCTAGCAAAATTACTTTAGGTACACAAGTGAAATTACATCAAACATTTAATAATTGTACAATTCATACAATTTTGTAAACAGTTTAAAATGTAAATTTACTTATCTATCTACATGAAAATAAGTATTCAGATATGAAAGATGAAACCAAAATAGTTCGCAAAATAGTACAGCGTAAATACCTAATTATGAGCTGATGTGTAGGTTTGAATATTTATATCAGAAATATTAAAAACAGTGGATTTCTTAAAGATACCTAGAATGTTTTTCTTTATATTTTTCTGAATTACTTTGCTGACGATCTTCGGAGTTTGCTTTAAGAAAATAATAAATTCACGTAATATTAGTGAAGAGAAAGTGAGGAGGTAAACACCATCGAAGGTTACTGCTGTAAAATTTATTTCAATCGACGAAAATAGCCCAGTAATAATAGCGCTCGTAAAATCCAGGCAAACAATATATACTAGGAATCTTGACATATGTAGGCAAACACTTTAAGACGTATCTACAATCTCCTGTACCTATTTGTCGATGTAAGCGGGGGGAAAACGTAGACGTAAACGTAAATACCATTCATAAACAATATTTTTTTTTAATTTCCGAACTCAATTGATACTAATATAAAATATTGGGGTACCTACAAATATTTCAGGGGCACTCTCGGGGTACCGATTAACATGCTTTTGTCGAATTTTGGATGAAAAGATGGAGAATTTCTTGCTCCTTCACCAAAAATAAACAAGAATTTAGGAAGTTCGCACTCGTTGACAAATGTTCCGATATCGAATTTCTTTAGGTCCCTACCCAAGTAATCAGTTTCTTTAGTCTGCTTTGAAATAAAATCGAATAATAAATTTTCTAAATTTGAATCGATTTGAATAGTAGTTTGCAAATAACTCTTCTCTAAAGTCTAAAGATTTTTTATGATTTCTGCTGACAAACTGCGTTTAATTTACAATTACAGGTATAGTCTTTCCGAAGTCAGTTGAACATGTATAAAAACGCCTAGCAATAAAATTTAATGTGTTTCACAGGCGTTCCCTAAAGAAGTTTTCTGCTAAAGGTAACATATTTTCATTATTTATGTCCTCAAACAATGTTATTATATTGATGGTAAATTTCGTATTTTCCGTTTCAAAAGGTCTCCAAAATGCCATGTTGTAATAATATTAGTAAACAAAATATCCCTCTTATTTCTCCCTTTCGCAATTGTAATATGAATGACTAATAGAAGGTGCCTACAATAAATTAAAATTACCTGAATCACACCAAATTCCGAATTGCTGCACTGCACTGCTAGGCAATTTGTCAGCCCCTTGTCAACAGCTGAGATTTATTACCCAGTTGCCCAATTCGACTGTCTGTGTACGTTGTTTGCCCGCGCGCGCATTCTTCAACTGGTCGTATACATTTCAACCACCTCCAAGTTTAATTCGACCAGACCTGTATATGGGTATGGCTAAATAAAAACGGGAACAAGTTTTTCAAATATTTCAATGCCGAGTTGCTGCGTCAGCGACCGAACCTAGTACATACTGCCAACCTCTTGGTTCTTCAATTGAAATCGGAAAGACTATACGAATTTTGCTAGCGAACATTTCCTTGAATTTACGAATACTCGTCCATCAGTCAAAGCAGTGATTAAAGAATCAAAACAATATCGGTATTCAAAGAACTGCAAAAATTTTCTATCGCTAGCTAAAATTTGTACACTAACATACTCATTTTCATAATTAATTAAATTACTCAGAAATAATAGAAGAGAGACAGAAAACTGGGGGATGGTGACTTCAGGGGCATGCGCGTATCGTAACATACTTGAGACAGGTATAAATTATAATATAAAAGTTAATTATAACTTCTTATATTACCGAGAAGAAAAGTGTAGAATTTAACTGATAATAATAAAATGTAAACACCCAATCTAAAACTATTTTGTGTTATTGTGGAATAATATTCAATGCATCTACTATAGTTACCTACTTATTTAACACTACTACCGACAATGCATTTTTAACAGTGTACCTTGTCAGTTACTGAATTTGGTTGTTTGCCTATAAAAGGTTATTTTGAAAATAATAATGTAGAACAAGATTAGGTATTTACTACTTGTTCTTGTACCCCGTAAACCGTAATGGTACCTACGTAAACCGTGGGAGAAAACAATTAAGTTAATAAGAATTTATTTAATAATTTGTTCGGCACTGGTTCACCAATAGACTTAAAAATGACCTCTTTTTACCTCTCTCAAATGTGGCATGTTGTAAATGACCAACGAGTAATCCGTAAACAGCTCGTACCCTCTGATGACCATCAAATTTGGGAACAACTTCCCCACTGACGTCAAGTAGAGGACATTGTAGAAGAACAGGTAGCCAGTGATCTCCGTAAGATCCGGAAACACATAGTTGTCAAATTCATGTTCACCCTTTACTCTTTCTATTAACAAAATTCTCACATATCCCACAATTTCGGTGCAATTCCTCAATTTATTCAATTCGGTTACGGTATTCCTAATATCCATTGATTGGCAGGTTTTACACTCAACAAATACCACACACACAAACAACAACAAAAATATAAAAAGTTTATAGCGTAACATTGTTTAGCCGGTACAACTCGCGAACTTACCATGCTCACAGACCGACGACCGGCGGGAAACTAAAAGTTTGGAGACGCGTCGCGTCAGACGAACATGAATAACCACGCCGCCGGTTCAAAACAACATGAAGAACGCGATGTTGCCACATGTCGCAATTTCGTACAAAATCTGGGAAAAATCAGTCGCGTAACACGGAGGTGGCCCTGGTCCATCTTAGCATGGGAGTTCCCCAATAATGATAAGAAACTTTGGTAAAAACTTAGCAGTTATCTTTTCCTACTTTTATAAGAAGCTGTGGCAGTCCGTCAGCGATGGCAGGCTTATTAGTGGTGACCCAAAGCAATTTAGAAAGGGTATTACTATGAATACAGGGTGATTCAGATCTTATCCAAAAAAAATTTTTTTGGACTTCTACAAATACAATTTTGTAAAGAAAAAGTCAAAAAGAGCGGTTCGAAAATTATTTAAAAATACACTTCTGCACGGCACTAGAAACTGGTCCATTGTAAAACCTAACCTGACACAATGCGACCGGCATGGCGGCAGTGTGATAAAAACGGAGCAAAATTTGAAAGAAATAAATAGAATTTTATAGCACCATTTTATACCAGTAAACTCAACTGATTTTGCCGCTATTGATATTATTAATTAATACAATTAATTTGTGATTTTAAATAATGAAATAATTTGACATAATCTATCTGATGTTACAACATCTGTTCAAAATTTTGTCCACTGCCGTTAATCAGTGTCTACGATCTAACACAAATGTTGTCTTGCTTCACCATAACACAAATACTTCACCATAATACAAATGTTGTCTTGCTTCACCATAAATTAAAACGATATCCATCAACTCCATGTTGCTATACGCGCAAGCCATTTTTGACACTAACTACTAAAAAAAATTTTGTAAACACTATCGCACCGGCGATTATAATATCGGATTTCAGTATTCGGAGTCGCTGAGGCCACCTGGCTTTCCACCCGTATTGCGAATTACACTAGAGACTACAGTTTCTTGTCCAGCTATGTAATGGTTGAAAGCACTACAACTCCAATAATTTTTTTCTCGGAAACTATAAGAATTTTACAAAATATTTTTCTACGATATTGACTCCATTTCTCATACCGCATCGATTCCTAAATTTTTTTGGATGAGTTGTGAATAACCCTGTATAAATATGAACATGGGTCTGCAACGACTTGGTTCTTGAGATGGTATCCAAAAAAAAATTTGTTTGGTATTTTAAGTATTTGTAGAAGTCTTGTAAATGATCTAAGTTTGTCGCATCTCAATATAATCAATAAAAGACACATTTTTTCACTTGTTTTTCAAAAACTCTTAATGATTCAACAAAATTCCGACGCATCAGGTTTTAACTTTAAACCTTTTTTTTACAAAACGGCTGCTTTCAGCGACAAATACTAAAAGTACTTCTTGTGCGTAAAATTGAATAGAAAATAGGTACGTTTAGTCAAAAATGACATACAGTGCGATACAAAGAAATTATGGTTATTTAAATCCAGGTACAACATTGTATGTGGCGCCAAAAAACTAAGTAAATATTTTTTTACGCTCTGTAAGTCAAGAATTAAACCGTTGCGGACCCATGTCCATATGAACTTTTTATCTTAAAATTAATCAAAGATTCACCCTTTAAAGTTTGTACATGTACTTAATAAACACCCTGTATATTATTGATACACAAATATTAAAGATCTCAAGGTCTCCATAGATTCATATAAAATATTATATTTTATGTTTACTTATCCAATTCTAATGTACTTATTTGTTTTGAACTAATTTTTAATTATGCTTCTTTTTATCATAAGCTTTTAAACTATTTTTAAAAACTTAAAAAGTATTAACCCAATTCAAAGTCAAAATTTCTTAAAATTCTCATTACATCACGCATAACCTACCAAATATCTTCTACTAACCAAGTGGTTTATAGACAAGTTAGTAATTAGTAAAACTATCTACAATAAAACTGAAAAGTAATCGAATAATATTAATTATTATGTATGCAAGTAATAATATTGAAAGACACATTTTCTATTTTTATTAATCACTAGCTTGTTAGTGTGTATAGGTATCTTAATACTGGTATAGTCTTTCCGATCTCAATCGACGAACCAAGAGATTGGCAGTATGTACCAGTTTCGGTCGCTGACGCAGCAACTTGGTATTGAAATATTTGAAAAACTTGTTCTCATATTTATTTAGCCATACCCATCTATAGATCTGATCGATCTAAACGTGGATGTGGCAGAAATGTATACACCCGGTTGAGGAATGCGCGCGTGGGCAAACGGCGTGCACAGATAGCCGAACTGGGCGACTGGGTAATAAATCTCAGCTGTTGACAAATGGATGGCAAATTGTCAGGCAGTGCAGTGCAACAATGCAGAATTTGGAGTGATTCAGGTAATTTTAATTTATTATAGGCACCTTCCATTAATCATTCATATTGCAATTGCGAAAGGGAGAAATAAGAGGGATATTTCGTTTACTAATATTATTACAATATGGCATTTTGGAGACCTTTTGAAACGGAACAAAACGAAATTTTCCATCAATATAATAAAATCGTTTGAGGACATAAATAATGTTGTTGGCAAATGAACATATAATAGAAATTTATAATTTTTTATCTGTAGCAGTAAACCTTTTTAGGGACGCCTATGAAACTAATTAAATTTTATTGCTAGGCGTTTTTATACATTCTCAACTGACTTCCGAAAGACTATACCAAAGAACACGCATTCCCTCATCTGATGAGGATTTTAAGAACTTGATTTGAATCAGTTCTTTTTATGTTTCGTTGTTTCATAATACATTTTCCTCTATTTTCGTGAAAACCAATGTTCATATTGCATGTTAAAAATTAAATAGAGAATGTCAACAATTCCACACCAGAGAATATCGGAAACGTATAGATCTAATTATAATCAAACTAACTTTCTCATTAATTGTCGCAATTATTAATTTATTTTTTACTACAATTAATTGAGTATTACAGATTAATACTCTTAACCTAAACTGATATAATGGTCTAACTTTTATGCCATTATAGTAACCAAAAATATGGTAATAAACTAAGTTTTGCTATGATTCGTTGTCAATTATCTATTACAAAAGAAAATATTAAATAAAAAATATTAAAGAAAAATAAATTAAGTAGACAGGATCAGTCGAAAAGCCATGACGAAACATAGTTGCTTTTTCTATAATGAAACGCTCTATATATTATTCCATATTTCAATTCTTCTCGATATTCTAAATGAATTCATATAGCACATTATGTACCTAAACTTAACCGTTTTGGTACGAACTTTGAAAATCATTTTCCAAGTTTATAGTCCATCAAGTTACCTTTGAAAGTTTCTAGCTTCATAATGCCGCGTCGTTCTTTTGTCTAATAGTGAGTATCTTGATGACAACACAATCATGTCAAAAATACATTTAGTGTGAATAATTTTCTCCCAAATATGGCACATTTAAGATAAACTGGGCGTTTTAAAGTTTTAATGATCATAGGATATGATAGAAGACGAAGTAGTAGACATTGCATTTTTCATCACATCTAGCATGACATTCAAAGAATTTTTTTCGTTTGTAACACTTACTGGTCTTCCACTTTTTCGACGATCTGTAACACCTCCACTTTCATGAAAACGCTGCAATGTTTCTGAAATATTTGATTTAAAAATACGTTCCCGATCTAGATGCAATTCATAAAAAATATCCACTACTTCGGTATTACATTAATAAACAGAAAGGTGACTAAACACACATAGATCGGTCCTGAGTTTTAATTTTTGTAACTATATATTTTTCTGAACATTTTGAAATGTTTTTAAACCAAATTTCATAAAAAATATATGATCATATGCGCAAACTTTCAAATTTGGAAATAGCAGTAATAAAATATCATACTTCTCACAAGATATGGCAACGTCATCAGTCATTCCAAACTCGAGTTCCAAGTTCCTCCAACGCGATAATACATTCAGTAGAATACGTGTGTTGGTGGAGGTTGACTCTTATATTCTTTTTGTAGCGTTTGATTGCGTTACCGTGTCAATTTTGGAGCCCACGCAGGTTAGTGGTTATAAGGTGATCAAATAGGTTAATAAGTGTCAATAACTACTCAATTTGTGCTGTAAAAATAGACCGATAACACGAGAAAGTTTGTTTGTTAACGCGATCGGTCGTGATCGCTTCTATTCGTGGGATGACTCGTGGTGTTCTCGTTTGGGTAAAGGTGCGGTGATGCCAAGTCAATTGTCGAAAAATCTTACCGGAGAAGACTCTCTACAGAAGCACTGATTTATTTTTTATTATCTAGTCGGCAACAAAGTGCTTTAATTTTGCCTGCATGGAAACTAGCTTTCGAGAAAAAGATTCGAAATTTTAAGCTGTAGCTGTACATGCAACACGGAATCCTCGCTGTTTACACCAGCCGCAACGTAGATGTACTCATATTTTAAAGCACATGTAACTAGAGATCTAATAATTCATGGAAAACATATTTTCTGAAATTTGAAGAAAACATGTAGTTAATAATGTTGTATACATTATTCTTTGGCATTAAATCGGCCATTTCCACTTTGCGCCGTCCTCTCGGTCTCTTGTCGCCTCTGTCACCTTCTGACAATGAAATAAGGTTACTGAGTACCGAAAATTTATTTCTAAGGGTAACAAATCAACTAAAAGTGGTGTACTTAGTAAAACGAATTAAAAATATTTATGGGCCGAAAATATTTTCACTGGAAATTTTGCGATTTACTCATTTTTTAAATTTAACTCGTAACATTGTTTGAAAAAAATTCATTCAAATTCAGTTTGGATTAGCTAATATTAGTAAATTTGATAAATTATTTTGTGTTGCGTAGCCTCCGATAAATTACGGTTTTTCAAATACTAATGAACTTTCCGCATAATTTTGAATTGTTTCAAATCAGGCCAACAAAAATAACACAGGCCAACAAGGAAAAAACCCAGAAGGCAGACAATACGTCCTCAAAGGTTTTTGATGCACTAAATCCGAATCTGGCCTCAGAATTGACCCTAGGTTTTCGAGATATTCTAACCTAAATGTGTAAAAAACACGGTTTTTTACACAAGGTTATATGACATCGCGAATAAATTTTTTTATATAAAAATCAATTAGACCACTGGAAAGTAGAATCTTTACCCTTCAAAACCCTTATTTCGATTTGAAAAAATATTCATTTTTCGCCAAGATATCGTTAATTGAAAATTACAACAAGAAATAGTATGTGGTTGCAGGGTGCTTCGGGTATAAATTTTGAGTTTGACTTGTCGTGGGTTTAGAAGATGCTGGTTACGACGTACTTACGACTTTTCGAAACTTCAGCTCCTGCTGGTTATGGTGTACAACGATTTATAACCTTAGTATAGCCGAAACTCGTGCACACTTGTGCACCTTACCTTTTAGGTTAGGAAATCTCAGAAACGTGAGGATATTGGAAAATATTGAGGTTCGATTAGAATTCAGCGACCCAAAAAGCATAAAAATACGTTATGTCTGCTTCCTAAAATATTGCTTAATTTGGCCATAGTGTAAGAAAATAGTAATTTTCAATTAACTATATCTTGGCGAAAAATGAACATTTTTTCAAATCGAACGAAGGGTTTTGAAGGGTAAAGGTTCTACTTTTCAGTGGTGTAATTAATTTTTAGAAAAAAAAATTTTTTCTTGTTTTCTTTTACCTTTGATTAAGGCAAAAATTTTTTTTTTTAACCTTTTGGTTTGGATTTTTTGGGAACCTTGGGTTGTTGGTTCATTTTTGGGTTTGGTTTGGGTTTCGGTTCTTCAAAACCTTTGGGGGATTGGGGAGTTTTTTTTTGTTTTTTGGTTTTTCCTTTTTTGAAATTTTGTCGGCCTATGTAATTTTTGTCAACAAAAAATGGTCTTGAGAATAGTAATAATCTCTTTTAAACACATTAAGCTTATAGTATCAAATTTTATATCACTGTAAGAATTCTATACAATTCTATAAAGTTACACAGGGGGTTCTTTCTACTAAAAAATAAAACATACATTTGATTTATGTGTCTAAAATATATTCCTTTAAAATAACAAGAAAATATTTACTAACTATACCTCTTTTAAATGTGGCATGACCGATGAATAATCCGTGAAAAGCTCGTACGTTTTAACACTACTACCGACAATGCATTTTTACCAGTGTACCAAATTCAGTAATTGACAAGGTGTCAATTACTGAATTTGGTTGTTTGTCTATAAAAGGCTATTTTGAGGATAATAATATAAAATAAGATTATTTACTACTTGTTCTTGTACCCCGTAAACCGTATATGTAAACCGTGTTAGAAAAAAATTAATTTAATAAGAATTTATTTAATAACTTGTTCGACACTGGTTCACCAATAAACTTAAAAATGACCTCTTTTTACCTCTCTTAAATGTGGCATGTTGTAAATGACCAACGAGTAATCCGTAAACAGCTCGTACCCTCTGATGACCATCAAATTTGGAAACAACTTCCCAACCGACGTCAAGTGGAAAACATCGTAGAAAAACAGATAGCCTGTGATCTTCGTGAGTTCCGGAAACACGTAATTATCAAACTCATGTTCCTGCACCAATTCCATCAACACAATTCTCAAATATCCCACAATTTCGGAGCAGTTTTTCAATTTATTCAAGTCGGAGATCTCGTTCCTAATGTCCATTGATTGGCAAGTTTTACACTCAACAGATACCACACACATAAACAGCAACAAAAATATAAAAAAATTATAGCCTAACATATTTTAGTTCGCAAGTTAAACATGCTAATAGGCAGACGATCGGCGGGAAACTAAACATTTTAAGATGGTTTGCATCAAGTAAACGTGGGCAACACGTCGATTTGAAACATCTTAAAGAATGCTGAGTTGCCAGATGTCTCAATTTGTTTCCAAAACAAAAAACTATTAGTATTTGTACCAATTTAAAATATAAATTTTATTATTTGTCTATTATACAAAATTTTATTTTATTTCTTCCCAATTTTTATATACTTTGACAAATATAGAGTTTAGATATCTATGTGTACCAACATATAATTCACCCTACAGTACATTTAAATACAACCACAATGATATAAGTTCAGATCAAAACTAATTCAAGGAATGCTTATTTTAAATTGGAAGATATAACTAAAAAATGACTCGATTTTAGAATAAAATAAAAGACATCTTTTTTGTTTTCACAATTCTAGAATTCTTAGTGGTAGTGCCCCCAATATATTTGTAAACCAATTCGAATGCGGTTAAATATTTAGCTTAAGTTTCATCAGTTTATGTTTTAAAAGATATTTGAATAAAAGTATGTTTCTTTTTATTGTCAGCTGTGTATTTCAAAAACGATATACGTTTATATAAATTATTTTTCTAAGAATGCACTGTAAAAGGAGTTTCACTCAATTTCACTCAATAATATATCAATTCTGTCCACACCCAATTGAGTGAAATATTCACTCCATTAGTATGAGTACAACTAAAATATGAGTGAAACTATTGCAACAGAAGTGAGTGAATTTTACTCAAATCAGAGATTCTGCTATCTATCAAGTGAGTAACTTTTGACTCTATTCTGAGTATGTAAAATCAATTAAGAGTTGACTTTTTCTCTAAATTTAAACTATTATTTATTAGTGTTTTACTCAAACTTGGTTTATGTTCTCTTTAAATTTTAATTTAAATACCATTATATTAAAGTAATAAACTACTAAGTCGCCACAGTAGTTTCTACACAGATTTGTTTTAGAGACATTTTAGGTCTCGATTAAAAGAATTGGTTAACTGATCGGACGAATAGATTGCCATAACCTGTATTGTACATTACATATGCATAAGTAAGTATAGATAACAATCTAGCTATCCGTTTATTTAACCAAATATTAATCGAGACTCCATATATTATTGTTCTAATAGTTGTAAACCACTGCATTTAAATACAATTGTCCACAAAATAACCGGATAAACGGATACTTGTCCAGCACTATACGTTACACACCACGCCACGAGATGACAATGGGGACGATGGGAATAGACGAAGTCAACGCACGACAACCATAGAATGGGATGGAGCCATTCAATAATGAGGACATTTACTCCGATTTAAGTACAATATACCAAATACGTGTTTATCTGGAGAATTTATTTAACGGGTACATATATTTGAGTGAAAGTACTCAGTTTTAATTCAAATATAATCACAAATGAGTAAAATTATCGAAATGCTCAATATTGAGTGAAAATGTACTCAGTCATTTCACTCAATGGATTTACTCCGTACTTTTTGCAAACGCTTGATACCCTGTATGTAGTACATATTTTTCATTAGACTGAATGTTATTGTCAATGTCACTTATCCTGAATTGATGCTGATTAAATCCTCACATCCTTCTCAAACTTGTACATTGCATGGACACAGGTTTTAGCACTGTTTTAGAGACTATAGATTAATCCTCAATCAAAAGAAGATATGATGAGGTGCATATTACGTAACGGAGCATTTATTGTTGCTGACAGAATGTGTAACTTTTAGGTCAGGGGTCCGTTTTTTTGGGGCGTTGGTACGTATTCCTCTGAATACAAACCTGAAGTTCTTTGTTTTTTAATCAAATAAATAATCGAGTTATAATTTTTTTTTTCACGCCGCCACTGGGCTGTGTTAACCGCCACTTTACACCTGGAATTAGCGTGGTAGGTTGTATCAGTGCGTCGCCAGTTGATTTATGTAAATCGTCTGTTAGAGAGCGATCATGGAAAATAATTTTTTAGTAGAACATATTGCTTTTATAGGTTTTGGTAATTTCTCTGAATGTTAAAACAAAAATTCTATTTGTATTTGATTCACCCACCTGCATATTATTGAGTTCATAATTTTAGAAAAAATATTTAAAATATACTATTCAAAATGTTCATATTACACAATCCTTTAGTTTAACCCTAAAACAAACTACTCTTTCTTAAGAGAAAAGGACAAAATATATAATTATATTAAATACACAACGGGATAAATATTAGATAACAAATATGGCAATTTAATTTATCTTTTAAATACGTATGTATAAACATTAATCAGTTTCCTTATATTAAGTTTATATTTCTAATTAAACAAAATGTGGCAACGTTAGTAGTCTGTACTCATTCCTAGCTACACTCCGCTACAATCAGTAGTGTTTGTCAGAAGTGCTGCTTGTCTTTATCGTATCAATTTGGGAACCCACGCAGGTTAGTGGTTATGAGATGATTAAATAGGTTAATAAATGTCAATAGATAGTCAATTTCTACAGTAAAAATAGACTGGTATCGTGCGAAAGCGTATTTGATATGCGATGGACTTCTATTTCTCGGACGACTCATCAGTATTTTGGTTTAAAAAGAGGTGTTGTCAAACCAACTTGAAAAAATTGCCAATGGATAAAGAGAGTGAAATAATTAATATCTAATACCAAATTGTAAATTGCAGTCAGTTTTTATTCGAAATACCTCAAATCTAATCATTAATAAAATTATTATAGCTATGTTCTGGCTCTTAGTGTACTTTATAGTATTTTAAAAAATGTGAAATATTCACAAATCAATAACAAACATATGATGTTAAAAACTTGATACTGTAAAGTCTATGTTTTCATAAAAAATATAAATACCAAAAGATGTAATAAAACAACTAAAATTAAATAATTAAGTTAAGAAGTTTATCTTTGTGTTTACTAGTTTAAGAACAATGTTTGTTAATTAAGATACCAATAAGCTTGTATGGTTAAGTTATTTCATTATTTTGTACCTTTCTGTTCTAGTAATGGAATCCGTAACCTTTGGAATTTTAACAGGTAAGTTTTCCATAATAATTAATTTTTGTAAATACATGGCTGCCTAATTACCAATCATTTCTAATTATGATGAGAAACGGCAATGAAAGTACAATAATTCACCCTGATTAATTGAAATAAAAATTTCTAATAAAAACTACAGGATAAATTTTCATGGCAAAACACGAAAGTAAATACATATTTTTATATATCAAACTCAAAAATAACTGTTGAAGCTGTTAATAAACGCCACTAAAGGTATGTGTGATAACCACTTAATCTTTTTATGATTCTATTGCATTATTTTCTCAATTTAACCGTTTTAATCATATCTTAATATTTTTGTAAGCCCATTAATTAGTTATTTGGATTTTACTTCAGATAAAATTATCACGTTTATATTATAATTGTAAAATAATTATAATGAAATATCTGCTAAACATGAACAATCTAAGATTAAAGTTTGTAGGACATTTTTAGATTTTTCTAGAAAATTGAGCATTGGGTTACACACCTATAGAACTAACATGTTTTTTTAATATTTTTACTAATAGTAAGGGAGATAATCCTAACATGTTAAAATGAATATTGTTATTAATTGCTAGACAACTAATTTTTTGTCTAAAAAGTTACACCTATGGCACACTCTTAGGAACATCCCTATAATAGAAAGAAAACGTTTTATCCAAATAAGTAGAGATGTCTGTAACCCGATGCCCAATTATTTTCCCTCCCATCTTAAGGAAGACTGAAGATTTTGCAAAAGAAATGATATTTTTAAATGAATTTAATGTATACTCCCCATTTATATTATAACAATTCAATTTCAGTGAGTGATACCTGTTCTCGAAATGAAAAAGATGATACAGCTGCTCCCCTGCTTCAGTTGGAGATTAAAAAGAACTTTCCACTTTGCAAGTTTTTCAGGAAGATTGTCCCTGACGAAATAGACGATATAAAGGAAACCCTCGAGTCGTGGATAAAATATGGATGCAATGTCATCTTCACTGTGGGTAAGTTAAGGTCCAAGGCAATTTAGAACTTATAAAATTTAATTTGAAATTAGTCGCCAAATTGCTAGTTATTTTTGTTGGATGGTCTAGGTGGTACTGGATTTTCCCCGAGAGATGTCACTCCAGAAGCAACAAGAGCAGTCATACAGAAAGAAGCACCTGGCATCGCTTACGCCATGGTTTCCAAGAGTTTAGCCATCACCGATAAGGCTATGCTTTCAAGAGCCGTCTGTGGGATTAACTCGAAGACTTTAATAATAAATTTTCCGGGTAGTGCCAAAGCAGCTGTCGAGTGTTTTGGATTCATCAAGGATTGCATCCCTCATGCGGTTGCACTTCTTACGAATAACATGGAGTTGGTAGCAAGTCATCACAAATGGATCCAGGAAAATCCTAAAGTAACTGTAGCTACACAATCCCAGTCTAATCAAGCAAGTACTATGGCCGCTTCGGAACCACCAAGCGGGAGCAAGGTAAATCAGTGATGAAAGTAAGAACGATTTAATGATTGAATGGCAATGATGGCAATAACCGCAGCATCCTGAAGATGTACTAAAAACGACAAAACGTCGACAGTGTATAATGCCTGGTTATTAGTTCTTTTTTTTACCTAATCTGTAGCAAGAAAAGAAAAGTAATAGCCAGAGGTCACCCACTAAGTATTAAAAAGAGAACAGCTGCCACCACAAACCCGTGGTAGTTTATGTATTTGTAAAAATGATATTTAAATATACAGTCTATGGGAAAGTGTTCCTTAAGAGGACGATGTCTAATATTCATTAAAAGAATATTGATATGATGAACTTACTATCAAAGCGCCTGTTTATCATAACTGAAAACTCGAAGTCACGAATGAATAAAATGATCAAACAACATCGGTGTTCTGCTCATAATATACTTCACATTAATTTTCCTTAAATTTCTCATTCCTTACGGCATGACATCGTTATAAATTATTTGGATTAGGTGTTACAAAATATGCGCCAGATCAGTTCTGAGAATTTTAAACGACCAATACCGAAAAAGACAATTAAACGACATTTTCTTATTTAATAACAGGAAAAAAACATTAATCTTACATTTCGCTCCTGAAAGTAATTAATATGTCTATTCGTCGTCTAAACTTAAAATAATTCTAGCACGCTTTGTACCTGAAAACTTGACTACCATTTTCTTGACAAGAAGAATTTGCTAGACATCGTAATCCCAGATGAAATGAAGTTTTTTTCCAATAAAATTGACTGCAGCTTAGTAAATGTTTAGGTATGCTTGACGTCACTGATATAACCAGCCTCAAGAATCTCATTGGAATATTCGTGGTATGTAAGGAAAAAATAATGCTCCTTCTGGTTGATTACTTGATAAACATTTGAATCAATTCGTTCATACCAACCATTTAGGTTAATGTAATTGTAAACATTTAACATGAATTTAACAATAGCACATACTAAAAGAGCACAAATAAAACCATAGAGTATACGAAACGCTAAAACTAAACGAATTTATATTTTTTGTTGGTAGACAGAGATCTTAATTAAATGACAGAAATACCGTTATATTCTGTATGATACATGTTATTATTAACTAATCAGATAAATTAATATTTTTAACCCTACCAATTAAACAGTAACCCCAATTGATATTCTTATAACTTATCCTAATGACCTAGTTAGGTTTATTTTGTTAACCTTCACATTAATTTTACTTTATGAATTAAGTTAGGACATGACTTATTTGGTAATATGTTGTGACTTAGAAAAGGGAGACTAAAAATAATTGACTTAGTCAAATCAAGGCACATTTTTCCGCAATGAAAACTAAAGTAGAAGCAAAGATTATCTAGTATTGAATTGAAATGTAACTTACCGTGTACATAGATTTTTGATCGCTTAAAGTTTTTGTTTGAAACTAAATCGGGTTTAGATTCTGGATGATCTGTAATATTAAGCGATAAGTTTTATAATTGTCATTGTTTTACAAGGTGAAACTGAATAACACTGCGAACAGAAACCGCAAATCTCCTTATCCCATGTTGGAAGTAGAAGCAGCTTTGAATATAATTCTGGCCGAATGCAAAGCGAGCTTAGAGAAGGAAGAATTGGAATTTGACAAGGCTGCAAATAGAGTACTAGCTGAAGACATCTACGCTGACGAACCAGTTCCACCATTTCGAGCCTCAATCAAAGACGGATATGCGGTGAGAGCTGCTGATGGAGTCGGCGATAGAATCGTGAGGAATGTTACAGCTGCAGGAGATTCAGTAAGCAATATTGCAATTTTGCGAGTTTCCAGAATTGCACTTATCTGTTTTAGCCTTATGAAGATAGTCTGAAAGAAGGAGAAGTGATAAGGATATCTACAGGAGCACCAATTCCTTTAGGAGCAGATGCTGTGGTACAGGTAGAGGATACAACGTTGGTTGAACAGTCTGATGATGGATCGCAGGAGGTAGTAGTTAGAATCAACGTCCAGCCCCAGGTCGGCCAAGACATAAGGTAAAATAATGAGAATTTACAACATATTTTCCAAACACATGCAAGCAAATACTTGTTTTTAAATTTGGTTCTACTGATTACATTATTTTAGATCGAGTTTTGTTCTTTTAAATCATTTGAAAATGTTTGAACTATTAGAATTGATTGATTAATTAAGATTACTGTGAATTTAAATTTTTTAAATCTTCAATGAAAATGGTCATCTTCATTTACTTTGTGTTTATATAGTATAGTCCGTACAAATAAGATGTATTTGCTTTCTTAGGGAAATTGGTAGTGATATAGCAGCGGGAGAATTGGTACTACCTAAATTTCAGCGAATATCTGTAGCCTATATAGGAGTGTTAGCAATGTTGGGAAAAACAAAAGTAAAAGTATTCAAGTAAGTTATCAATTAACATAAATAATTTAGGATACAACTACTGTTCGTTTCTGCTAATACCCTTGCAGAACATTCAGCTCTGCTGCGAGAATGAAATGAAATTAATCACTTATAACAAATATTTTTATTATAAAACTTGATTTTACTTTTCAGACGTGCATCTATTGGAATCATTTCAACAGGAAACGAGCTCAAAGCGCCTAATGAAGAACTGAGACCTGGGCAGATTCGAGATTGTAACAAAGTCTCACTAATGAATTTATTAAAACGGTACAGCTATGAATCAAACGACTGCGGGATTGCAAAGGATGAGTAAGTATAATTGGCCTAAAATGATAGGCATATTACTAAGCAAGTTTTATCATTGTTCAGTTTACATCTGCAATTCTTATGCAAAAACATTTAGCATAGCGTTTGAAGGAAGGTACCTACAAAAAGTACAAATAAAAATACACACATAATTCATGGTTACGGCTTTTTTTAAATTATGTCGATGTGTGAAATTGTGTAACTATTTAAGCTTAGGTATCCACTTACGGATGAAGCAGAGGGTATAGGCGCCAGAAACTCTACCTTTTCCAATAAGTGACCAATTAATGATATTTTAACTTATGACATTATGAAAAACAACTACCTTGCGAATTACAGCCCCGTCCAGCATCGAATTATACTCGCAATATCTAATAAACAATCGATAGATCAATAGAACTTGTTAGTTCTCATCAGTATACTCTCATTTCGTTCATAACTCTCCAAATTTCTGTCTTTCATTCAGAAGTAGTATACATTTGAGCAGAATAAACTTTGAACTTTACGAATCCCCACAAGAAAAAGTCGCATGATCTTGGTACTCGGTGGCCACTTCACTTTTACCTGAGATGAGTCCATTTCTGCTGTAACAAGTGGATAGTTCCACGTGCCGTATGACAAGTGGCACCATCCTGCTTGAACCACATGACATCCAAATTCATGCCATCCAAATGAAGCCACTAAAAGTTCAATAGTATCTCTCGATATCATTCTCCATCACTGCGTTTCCAGTCTCATTTTCACAAAATCGTACCAATCACCCCACCAGCATAAAATCCACACCACACCGTCACTATTTGGGTATACAGTGGTCGATCTTGAATGGGCCGAGGATTGTCTCTGCCCCAAATTCGACAATTTTGCTTATTCACATGCTCATAATCTGGAAATACGCCTCGTCGCTAAATATGATGGTCGTCTGGTGTCAATTCCTGGGTTAGCTGAATCTTGAATGGATGCAGATGTAGATTGTTTGTTAAAATCCGCTGCATTGTGCTTTTTGAAATGTTTAATTACAGTGACCGACGGCCCACTGAGGTTACGGGAATTTCCGCCACACTCACTCACCGTAGAGCAATATTTTCGGCTAAACGATCAGTATGAAGCCGGCATTTTTTTTATTGTTTACAACTCAACCTGTTTGTTCAAATTTCACAACTAATCTTTTCACAGTTGTTTCATTCGTCTACCGAAATTTCCACGTAATTTGCGTACAGTCTCAGCTACACACTCTCCGTACTTGTAATGAATTTTCACAACTTTCACAACGTGTTTACTATAACATGTGACCATGCACAATGCTGCCGACTCCTCGGAATGAAAATGGCGCACAATTCAAATTCCGCGTTACTTTTGGGACAACCTTTAAAAACAAAATAAAATATCTTCTCAGCTCCTAAATTTATTATTTTATATATTTTACTATTTCCATCTGAGATTTATAGTAAGTAGTTTATTTGTGTTATATTTTAATTAATTTAAGTACCAGTAGTGCTTTAACACTTTAACCTAGAGCCCTTAAAAATCATTTTAAAGTAAAATATTTGGCAAAAAAATTACGAAGTCCTTGAAAATGTTACGTGCACTCTAACAGGGCGGGTTTGAAAGTTTCTGTTTGATCGAACAATTTTTTTATCTTGAACAAATTTTAGAATACAGGTTGCTTAATAGAATTGAAATGTTCGCGCCCAATAGTTTTATGAAGTTTGCAGTATGCTATACTTGCATATATTATGTTTTTATTTCAGTCCAGACAGTGTTAAATTCGCTTTTGAAAAAGCGTTCGCAACGAGTGATATCGTTATAACCACTGGAGGAGTATCGATGGGTGAATACGACATTGTGAAGCAAGTGCTTGAGGAAGATTTCCATGCCATTATACATTTTGCTCGTGTCAATATGAAACCAGGGTAACTAAGTATTGTTAAAAATATATATTTTTGCTTTATTAGATAATGTTGCAAAGGATTATTGTTGATTACATTTTCATCTGCTACAAAATTGAGGAAAGAAAAGAAAAAATATGATTATGTTAACCATAATAGGTCTGTTTTTAGCATGCAGAACTGATTATATTTGATGGTGGTAGAAACTGGTAGCAATAAATACATATTACATGTCACTCATTTGGTTTCTGGTTGCTTATTGCTCGTCTAAAGCCGCTTTAACAAATAAAAGTAATGAAATTGTTCGGAACATGTTTTTTTCACATTCCCAAAACTCATATACAGGGTTTTCAAAAAATTTGGAACCCCCCCTCCTCTATCTCAGAAAATACTGCTCAGACAAAAAAATGATTAGAACAAAAGTTGCAGGGTTTTGAGTGGGCAATCCAACGGTGACCTTGGCCATGACCTTGACCATGACCTTCAAGGTCATTTAGAGGTCAAGTTGAAAATTTTAAATGGAACCGTATACTTTTGATCCCGGAAATGAAAAGAGCGAGGAATATCGGGTCATTTATTAAAAATCGATTTGACCTGTAAACGACCTTGAACGTCAAGGTCATATCCCAACGGAAAAATGTCAATTTTTTCCATTTCCGGGGTCAAAAATATACGGTTCCATTAAAAATTTTCAGATTGACCTCTAAATGACCTTGAAGATCATGGTCAAGGTCACATTCGAACGTAAAATTTTCCGCTCTTACTATTTCCGGGGGGTCAAAAGCATACGGTTTCATTTAAAATTTTCAATTTGACCTCTAAATGACCTTCAAAGTCATGGTCAAGGTCACCGTTGGATTGCTCACTCAAAACCCTGCAACTGTTGTCCTAATCATTTTTTTGTTTGAGCAGTATTTTCTGAGATAGAGAGGGGGTTCCAAACTTTTTAAAAACCCTGTATAATATTTACGGGATTCGCAGAAATTATTTGTATTTGTCCCATTTCTCCTTAAGACACAAGATGTTAACCTTTTTTGTGATTTTTTCGATGTATTGCATAACGTACTTGATTCCTTCTTCTCAATTTTTTAGCACAAACTAAGCTGTCTCCACATAATTTTGGAAACAAAAAGTTCGCTAATGTTTTTTGCGTACTTTTGTTAGTTGTACTTTGATTAAAAATTCATTTTAGCTATTTTTAGGAATAATTATTAATATTAAAAAAAATATGTGGAGTGGCCAATCTTTAATAAAATTTAAGGTTACTATGAATGTTGTAACAATTTTATTATTATTTTTTTAGAAAACCTACGACATTCGCTACTCTTTCGTATAAAGGACAATTCAGAATGGTTTTTGCCTTGCCTGGAAACCCAGTGTCTTGTTGCGTCACTTCTTTACTGTTTGTCGTCCCCTTACTTAGATACATAGAAAGAAGCAGGATATACCAATTTCCAGTAGTGCAAGTACCTATAGTAAGTAATGCTCAAATCAGGTAATATTAAAATAGCAGTAATCGAATTGTTTCTCGGGCTGTATGGCATGTTGAAACCACATGTCGTCTACATTCATATTTTGCAATTTATGCACAAAATACTGGATTCTCGTGTCGCGATAGAAAGCACCATTAACTGTTTTGTTTGATGGTTTTGTTCGAAAAATCATCATCCACGTGTTTCATAATCCATTCAATGAACTCTTTTCGCTCTGAGTGATCAGTAGGCTTCAGGTCAGTCAATTGAACTTTGTAAGCATGAAGATGCAAATTTTTAGTGAGAATGCGCTGTGGAGAGCTTCACGAAATGCCCAATTCTTTACCGCGGTGACGCATTGACGTTCCTAGACTCTCAGCAACATTCTCACGAATTGCTTCGATGTTTCGTATTGAAAGACTTGTTGAAGGACGACCATTGTTTAAGATCCAGTCTCCCAGATTTTTTCAATTAATCTCTTCACAGTTGATGAAGTTAAGTCACTATTCCGACTATATTTTGTATGAAAATTGCGAACTGTATCTGTCAAACCTTCATCATTTCTAAAATGATGCTCAATACTCTAAACGCGTTGTTCTTTCGCATAGCGCTCTATTTTTAATAACCCTGAACTGACATCTGTCACGTCACGAGTCACGCTGTCTTTTTTTTTCGTTAGCACAAGTAGCTCAAAATTTAAATCTTGCGGGAATTTTGGGACACTTCCTTGTAGGGCATCCTTTATACTGATATCACATTTATTTACAGAGTGGATTAATAAATAAGGATGAGAGACCAGAATACCATAGGGTGCAAGTATACAGTACTTATGGAGGCTTGAGCGCTGTTTCGACGGGCAAGCAAATTAGTAGTCGTCTTAATAGTTTAGCAGGTGCTAACGGTTTAGCTATAGTTTCAAAATGCCAGGAAACAAAATCGAACTCTAGTTTTTCAAGCAAATCAAATAAATATAACGTTATAATTTTCGATGATATTTTGAATTAGTATAATCTGTTTTATTTTTGTAAATAAAAAGCCATTTGTTTGCTCATTTTTTGTAACCATTATAACTGATATGTTTGTTATTTGCGTTTTTATTATTTCCCAGAGTAATTTCTAAAGTGATACCTTGTGAATAAACAATAGTAATCTAATAATATGATAGTAAGTGGCAATATATGTTATAGTAGCAGAAATAGGCTCGATCAAGCCGTGGTGTGCCGCTTTATGTTCACAATACACAATGCTACTGACTGCCATAAAAACACGTGCCAAACACTCCACTAAGCAAAGCGCACAAACGACAATGAAATGCACGGCTAACGTCCCACGGCAAAAAAACAGAAATAGTTCACCGGCACGCCAGGCCGACAGGATAGGCATTAAGGTGTCGCTAAATATGTACATATCGAATAAATTGGTCGATGCGAAGCTTCATATCAGAGGCAGACATGTTTTGTACAAATGTGAAAATATACAGGGTAGGAAAGTACCGATGGTCTATCTGAAGTTACGTGAGAGCGATAAAGTAAGCCATAGAAATCCATGCGATAGAGAAGGATGGCTATAATGAAGGCGTCTCATAGACACCGCCCGTCCACTTCTTATTTGTAGAAGGGCGAAATGGGCGTTGACTATTAGACGCCTTCATTATAGCCATCCTTGTCTATCACATGGATTTCTATGGCTTACTTTATCGTTCTCATGTTACTTCTGATAGACCATCGGTACTTTCCTACACTGTACATCTGAGATTACTAACGAAGTGATTTTTTTATCAGAGAGATCAGCATATATTGCGCGTTTAACGACGAGGCACAGGCTGTTCACAATAATACAATAGAATAATGTTTTAATTTTCCAATCAAAATTACTGGTCAACTTGCTTGTAATCATTTATGAAGGCTCTGTAGTAATCGATAATAATTAATTTACTAACAAAAATTAAGTAAATTTTACTCAATCTTTTCTTACGGTGGCGGTGGTTTGTTTAATAAATATTCAGTATTCATATTAGCATTTTTCATGAAAATTTTATAATATGTAAATAAAACAAATGTTTATATAAATGTTTAATAATACAAAATATATACAGTTTATAATTATTATTCCAACAGAAATATATTTACAAATATATAACATTTTAAAATTAGTCTAAATTTCAAAAAGCTGCATCATGTTATATCAATATCATCTTAAGATATTTATAACCAAATGAAGGGGTAACATTTAGGTTACTGACTTATTAATTAATCAAGGTAAGTGCGAATTTCTCTTATTTTGAAAAATTTAAATGGCAGACTTTATTTGCTAAACACAAAATTTATCTGCACAAAACAATATTTATACGATTTTCAATATGTGAAATGGTTTACACCAAATTTTGTCTTGTAAATCGTAGTTTGTTTTCGGAAACCTAGTTGTTATTGCTATATCCAGGGTTTGTAATGCTCGGTTGGACAACACAAGAGGTTGGTATTCGAGGGTGCCTCCAATTTCAACAGAAGTTTCTTGATCTTGTTTCCTGAAATGTGAATAAAAAATGTTTTACAAATTTTAAAAACGTGAAGAATTGTTTAAATTTGTATGTCTGTGATACAGAACCAATGCACTAGCGTAGCATATTTTTTTTAATTCATATTCGGAAAGAACATTTTTTTCAACAATTTCTCCCTGAAAATAATTAATGAAAACAAAGAAATGCAGACGACTTCAGGAATAGCTTTAAAGTAAAAAAGTTTAGTTTTACTTACTTACACGTGGTCTAATATTATTATCTTGCTGGTAACATCTACACTTACTCATTCAATTTAGGTGTCGAAAATAGTAATTCTGGTAAGATCCCTTGAGGACTGACAGTGAGTACTTTGATGCCCATGGGCGACAATTCCTGTCGTAGAGCCCTACTGGCCCCTTCTACTGCGTACCGACTAGCTGCGTAAGCCACCAGGCCAGCCCCTAAATTCTCAGTGGCACCTAAATTAACGATACGTCCGCCAGCATTGCGAAGGAGGCTCTGGAACTTCCTGGCTGTTCGCAGGATGCCTATCACGTTAGTTTTCAGCATAGCATCCCAGTGTGCTATGTCCTGCTGGTCGAGGCGACCACGGTACGAGAGGCCGCTGGTGTTGATCACCGCCCATATGCCTGTAAATATATTTATTGATAATACAGTTGTTAATGTTAAATTGAAGTTCTTTAAAAACCATTTAGAATGGAAAATATAACAATTACAGCTAAGGATTTGTAAATGCTTTGATTCCAACAACTATCTTGCATGTCGGGAAGCGATAAGCTTGGAAGTTTTCCTTAGGGTGTTGCAATTCCAAATTTTTGGTTTAAGTGCATTTTGACGAATAACCTGTGAAAGGCCTAAGCGCGTAAGCTTATGCACATATTTTTAAATAATCAATTTGTAATAAAAACTTGTTAAAACTTGTTTGGAATTGTTTACCATTGCTAAATGGACTGACAAACATTGTTCGGGCTATTTTGGGATCATCAACGGATTTTTTAGCAGCTAGCTTTTGGAATTCTTTATTGTAAGAACCTTTAAGATGTTTTGGAGAAATGAATAGAAAGAGAACGTGCCGGGTATGACAAAAATGCTAATGCAAATGAAAGAAGAGAACTAATGAAATGGCGAGTATGAGGAAAATCAAGCTCAGAGAAATTGTAGGTAGTCGACTGGACAAGCACATCTGCTTACACACAAAGTTAGAATATAATCTGGGAAGAGAGGAGAAGAATACTTTGGGAAGAGTCGAAGGGTGAATAGGTCGATCAGCTAGCAGACTTTCAGACTTTGTACAGCTGACAAAGCTGCTTATTAAACAAATAGACGGTTAATAGTCAAATATTTAGAGTAAACTTTTCATATAATCATTAACAAAATTGTTATAAATAAATTATTGCAAGCCTGAGCCTCACAATCAGATTTAGATCATCTAGCAACACTATTGTGGAGAGGAGGCCATAAAAAGCTATGATAATATAGAAAACTTTTTTAGTGACATGTCATAACAAATTGTAACTAATTCGAATAAATAACAGTTACAACAGTTACAATTTCATTTACAATTTGATGCCTTTAGCGAAGAGCACGATCCTTTATAGAATGAAAGGATGAAAATGGCCATTCCTTGAAAATTTATGCTAGATAACGTACACAAGAAATATAATCGTACACAATTGCCAATAATACGGTATAATCAGTAGCTGGAATAATTACGGTCAGGTATATTTAATTTTCTAAGCAATTTGATGCATTTACACCGCACATGGTTGCTTATAGAATAAAAATGTTCATTCCTTGAAAATTTACGCTAGACATTAACAATTTAAAACATATAATCGTACACAAACGCCAATAATACGCTGTAATGAGAAAAGTGTAATGAAGCAATTAATTTCTTATTCAAAACAAAGAGTAAGAAGTGGAAATATGGTAAACAGTTCCAATTAAATCAGTTTCAAGTCATGAAATTGATTCAAATCAAGTACGGCAAGCTCAGTTATTGAAAAAATTGGACATATTAATCGGTCTTTGCAATTGAATAGAATTATGATAATTTCTGAATGATGACGACTTTTTTTGTCACAATGCCCATGCGTTATCCAAGGGTGTCAAAGAATTTACACAAATTTCTGAAGTTGGTAATACTCGTCAAAATAAGAGAAAAAGTTAAATTAAAAAGGAAATAATTTTTTCCACCATTGATCCATTTAACATAAAAAATTTATAAAAGAAAATCAGTTGTGAATAATTTAACTTTTAGAATGCATTGATACATTTTTGCTTTTGCTCAAACACCTAGAAAACTGTTGAGTTTGTCGATTTGAAACCTCTATCTATTTTATTTCAAATTTTCAAAACATTTCGATGAATATCTTATCTAATATGGATTAGGTTACTAGGTAACAAAATGGAGGCGAGGAATGTTAAAAGTACCGCAAAATAGAAATGCTCTTTTGGAAGGAAATGCTAATTATTGGAATACTACTGTGTAGGTAACTTTGACATGGATTTCGTATAATTTATTTCATAAATTGCAAAATAAAAAAAATGGAAGGTTACTATGTCGTATCAACACCTGCTATTTTGAATACCTGCGTAACTACGCGTTTTCACCAGTGGCGGCTGGTGCGGAGGAGCTCTGGAGCGCCGCCTCCCCTGGTGAAATTTTCATATTAAAAAAAATTAATTTAAAAGTTAGTTTACAATGTTATCTAGATATTTATATAGTCTTATGAAACAGGAAAGTAACTCGACATGCAAAATTCTTTGCAAAGTGTTTACAGCGGTGGTCATGATTACCGTAGCGCAGCAGCAAAAACGGGGGGGAGTTACTCATATTTTCTATGCAGTTTGGGCTCTGTTTAGTTCGTCCGTAACAAAATAATAGCTATTCACAGTTTCCTTCTTTTATTAAACAAAATTTGTTTACGAGTGCTGTAAAATTTTGTTACTTAAGTATTGTTTCTTGTGTTTTTTTTAAAGATTGTTAAGGTTTAAATTAGACTGTAAAGATAGACTAACAACACTTGCAATACTATCTATTGAAAAATGAATGTTTTAGCTGTCGTTTAAAATTTTTCCTGAGTACGACTCTGAACTCTTTTAAAATACCTTTGGGAGGAAGTCATAATAGTATAAAAGTCAATACAGCACAAAATATCCAACCATTTTTTTTAATCAATAATTTAAAAAAGTACCTAATAAAAAAATAATACGAATTTATGAAATTATTTTTATTATTTTTTTATTATTTCTAATTAATATCGCTAATAGTAGTAAAGAAAATTGTTGGATATTTTGTGCTATATTGACTTTTGTACTGTTATGACTTCCTCCAATAGATATTTTGAAAGCGTTCAGAGCCGTACTCGGGAAAAATTTTAAATGATAGCTTAAACAAGCTAAAAACCTTTTTAAGCGATTACAATAGTAATATCATCTAATTCAGAATTAAAAATGACTTTAGATTTTGTCATAAAAATAGCAGCGACGTATTTAAAAAAAAATAACCTGATGATGGCCCCTCGAAGACTAAACGTCGGATTGCAAAAATGTTGACGCCATTGGATATCGCAAAAAAATTGGCAGTTAAATATGTAATTTATTTTAATCGTAGTTAAATAAAGCCAAAAAAAATAAAACGATTTTGCAAAATCTCGTGTTTTTCCAGATATCTGGAACTACGCGGAATTTTAAAACTTTCTAAACGGCATATCGTTAGGTATACAAAAACACAACTTTTTTCTAATTTGGGCCACCCCGTATCTCTTACCGTTTTCTAGATCCTAATGCTATCCCATCCTTATCTTGGACACACTGTATTTGATTTTTTTTCAATATATACATATAGGTACCTAAATTTTTCCGCCCTTTCTGAAATGAAATTTTAACCATTAAACTCTTTAACTTCTCGTAGATTACATGTTAACGACATCCATGGGTATTTTTGGCAAAAAAATGACTATTCTAGGTAATATACAGGATGTTTCATAATGATGTGCAAATATTTTAAGGAAGTGTTTAAAAAGTAATTTTTTGGGGGGGGGGGGGTACTTCCAATACATTTTTTCGATTTGAGCCCTTCCCTGAGAAAATATTCAAATCTCGAAATGGCCGAAAAAATTACCTGGCTTTTATTGATAAAAAATAATTTTTGCAACAAGCGTATCAAAAATGACGATTTTTGCTCGTAAACCATTAAGTATACGAAAAAATGAGAAGTGTAAAAAAGTTTCTAAATGAAATGTACTATTAAAAGCTATTTTTCTTGTTGAAATTGGCTGACGTAGAAAAAAGTTGTCAGAGAAATAAAACCAAGGGGTTCTAATTTCTTTCAGTCAAAGACATATACCAAAAAATATCATTCAACTAGTTAACGAGTATCGAAATTCAAATTTCTAAGTTTAACCGTTTTCGTCAAAAAAAATAAAAGCTAATTTTTTCGGCTATTTTGAGATTTGAATATTTTCTCAAGGGGAGCTCAAATCAAAAAATATATTGGAAGTACTCCCTTTAAAATTACTTTCTAAACACCTTAAAATATTTGCACATCATTATGAAACACCCTGTATATAAAACAGATGCAAGAACGGCACTTTGAAATTAAGGTATTACTTCTCTGTGCATTCTCACATTCAGAATGTGATCCGCCACTGATATTGTCTACAAAGAAAGCACATACCATCCTCGCCGGCAGGAAGGTGGGCCCTGATAATGTCAACAGCTTCGTGAAGGAGGTCTTCTCTGGTAACGTCCAGCGGTAAAGCGATGAGAGCGCCTTGACCCTGAATGCTCTCGCGGTGCTTCTGCCAAGCCCGGATGACCCTGGAGGATGCCGAGTCGTCCGAAGAACCAGAGGAGGCCCCCTCTTTTAGGCCCGCGAACACACGGAAACCGCGGTTGGCCAGGTGAAGCGCGATCTGTAAAAAGAAATTCTTTGTTGTATAACATTTTTTTTCTAAAAATCTCTTTAGTTTTTCAGATAATTTTAGATTTTTTTAATAGAGTTGGCCTCCACTGGAGCATAAATCTAAACGCTTTCATGAGCTAACAATATAATAACAAACAATAACGAAAAAATGGGAACTGCTTAGTATTTAGATAAGCAAGCAAATTATTCCACATAACATTAGCATATGTTATTTAGCTCGTTATTTTTTTTAATTATTGAATTTGAAGAACAGTTTTTCAAATATTGTTAGTTAACCGGCCGCTTTACGGCCGCGCCCTTACCTGTAAGCCGACGGCATTGTCGCAAGATGTGACCAAGACCGGTTTGCCAGCACCTGGAGCATTCTCCGAGAGTTCAGATCCACCGGTAGCGCGTATCTTACACAGCAGGTACAACAACAAGGCCCCAGCTATGGAAAAGAGGGCCACCAGCTGCAGAGCCAACACCAAAGCCGTCTGCTCGTCCATAGTTGAACAACTGTAAAAAAATAGCAGCCTTTAAAAAATTGTTTAAATGTTTAACATTGGTTGGGAATTGATTTTCTGATTTCATGAACTTAGAACCAAAGCAAAGCGTACGTAGACGTACACCAACAATGCTTATGCAAACGGTTAGAGTTTTAATCTTTTAATTTTTAATCTGTTAAACCGAAGCAAGTAATAAAGAATTTGTTTTAACAAATGTTACTGAGAACTGAAGTCAAAAGGATAATAGAAACTCGTTACGTTATCGACTACCTATGTCTCAAATATTTCCGTCGAAGTTCTTTACGAAATTCATAGCTGCCCACCCACAAACGCCAGAACCGCAGTAGATGACACCGCCATGCCAGAGCTGCCAGAGGCCGATGTTAATCGGGAGCAGACTGCAAAAATAGAAAATTTACTCCAGTTTCGAATTTCGAAAAATGAAAATTTGTCCGAAAAATGCGAAATTCAAACAGGGAAACCGCAACACAAAACCACACTATCACGACAGATTACAAGTCCGCTTCAGGCGACCACATTTCAAAGATCAGCAAAATTCAAAGAGGCCAATTGTCCAAACCTAACGCAAACTTTGCTAGGGAACCTCTGCGGATCCAATAAAACATGGGATTGAACGTCGACCCTGATACCTTGCAGTTCATTAACCAGGAACTGATGCCTGGCCAATACCTGTGGTAGGACTCAAATTTTCTAATTACATTATATACAACCAATTATGAAACATATTTTATTTTTTCAATAAATCGCAAACCTTACAATTCAAAAGATGTTAAAATGTTTCACAAATTTTTGCGTGCACGTTGCTCCCGGCCTAGACCTCAGTTCTAGAGCCCCTTCCCATCAACCGTTGTCCAATCATGCGGTGAAGATCAAAAAGGAGAAAATAAGCTCCCAAATTCATAATAGACCAGGGTCGATAATTTTTGAAACCAAAAAAAATTATAGTAGGATGAAACCGATTGGAAAAGAAAGAGAATATAACAGAAATTAAAGGAAAAATAATTTACTGGCGATCTGAGGTCGGAAAGGGGTAGGGGGGAGTTTTTAAGGGTAAAAACGGTTTCCCTTGATTTCCAGAAAAACTACAAGTCTTATGGAAAAGAGTTAAATGGCAAAGTTGTAGGTAATAAAAAGATCTACAACTTTTGTATTTACACTTTTTTCACATAACCTCAAAATTTATGTGAAAAATTCAAATAACCAAGTTTTTNTACATTTTCTCAATTTTGATTGAAATTTTTGATTATATTTAAACTGCAACCGAGTACTTTCACTCAAATTTAGGTACTCCCTAAATAAATTCTTCACGTAAACTCGTGTCCCATTAGGTTATCTCGTAACCGTGGCGTGGTGGATGGCAGTATGGCGTATTACAACCAATTATGAAACATATTTTATTTTTTCAATAAATCGCAAACCTTACAATTCAAAACATATTAAAATGTTTCACAAATTTTTGCGTGCACGTTGCTCCCGGCCTAGACCTCAGTTCTAGAGCCCCTTCCAATCAACCATTGTCCAATCATGCGGTGAAGATCCCAAAGGGGAAAATAAGCTCCCAAATTCATAAGGACTAGTAGAAGGTACTTACCGACCTCGAAACCAGCGCTAGGCAAGGCATAAATAAAAGACAATGATGTACACAAAAGTAACCATACTCGAAGAGTCCACAAAAATGTCTAATAATAAACTTTTTCTCTAAAAATTTGGTTATCTATTACCAGTTTTAATTTGGCAGATTAGAACTGGGATATCTAATCATTTTTTAGATATCTAAAAATTAAATATTAATTCATTTTGATTCACAGTTAACGTCTATTTTATAAATTAACAACACTTAATTAGTTTCTGGAGGGGCAAATAAATTCCATGGTCTAGTCGAGCAGCTTTTAACACTTTATAATTAGATTTCTCCACGGGGAGCAAACCGTCGAAATTGCTTTCGGCCATTGAAACTTTACACAAAATTAACTGACACGCTGTCGATAAATCGATTAATGTAGAGGAATGGTATGAGTGGAAAAGCTGAAATATAACTTTTAAGTACAGGGTGTGCTGGAACTCCGTCAGAAAACTCCGGGAGGTGATTCTATGGATTAAAATAATAGCAGTATGTAATAAAAATTTACAGAACACCCTGTATAAACTAATTTAATTGTTTAGAGTACACAAATAAGTTTGATCCCATCGTCCCATGGTTCATAAAATGTACGGTACTACTATCTTTCTCTCATACGTTTTAGATAGTATAAAATACTAGAAGCACATTTGTATTAAGTATGCTGAAAAAACTGTTGCATAAAAAAGTTGTTAAATAACACAGGCCGACAAAATTTGGCCAACCTTCTAACTCGGAAACCAGAGTGTACTTTTCCGAAGGATTTTTGTGCGCTGAAGATCCAAATTTCCCAATTGGCTCTGGTTTCCGAGATATCCTAACCTAAAAGTGCCAAAATCGCAATTTTTGACATATTTGAGGTTATGTTAGATGGATAGGTAAATTTTTTTGCTAAAAAATGGAGTCTTAAAGTACTATGCATACTCTTTAAAACGCGCTTGGATTTATACCGGTATCATTTATCATCTTTGATAAATCGTATTTTGAAATTTAGTAGTTTAACTTATTTCCTGATTTTTGAATATACAGGGTCGGAAAGTCCCCATGGTTCGTCGGCCGTTACGTGAGAGCGATAAAGTAAATCATAGAAATCCGTGCGATAGAGAAAGATGGCTATAATGAAAGCGTCTAATAGTCACCGCCCATTTCGCCCTGCAATAAATAAGAAGTGGATATTTTTTGTTATTGTATTAGCAAAAAAATGTACCTTACCACGTAACATACACTGTAAAAAAATAGGTGTGAGTGAAAGGGTCGGAATTAATCCATTGAGTGAAATTATTAAGTACATTTTCTCAATTTTGATTGAAATTTTTGATTATATTTAAACTGCAACCGAGTACTTTCACTCAAATTTAGGTACTCCCTAAATAAATTCTTCACGTAAACTCGTGTCCCATTAGGTTATCTCGTAACCGTGGCGTGGTGGATGGCAGTATGGCGTATGGTGTGCTTTGTAATTGTTCAAGTATCGGTTTATCTGGTTATTCTAGTGAAATCTGAAAGTTAATTTACCACAGATTATTGAACCTATCTGGATATATTTTCGATATTTTCAAATGTTTATTTATATAGTCCGTTTAAATGTATATTAATTTCGGGTAATTTTAATGGTGCCGTGAAGATGGCACCACTTACATATTGCTTCTGTAATCTTGACCACACTTTATAAGGATCCATTAGATGCTCCAGAAAAGCGTGATCGGCAGGAGAACAGGCCTTAGCCGGCGGGTCTCGGCAAACGGGTCTCAGCCAGGACAGGAGGAGGCCCCGCGAAGTGAATTAATTTCAACAGGTAAGGTTTCAGTTTAATCATGATTTTGAAGTGTTTAAGCTCAAAAAACGTGACTCTTTAATTTTTATCAATAGTTTGACTGTTTGAAACAAAGAAACGGTTCGCTAGATCGAGATGAAACTTCACAGGGTTTTTCTGCCGATACGACCATTTTTCACCTAAATACAGTCTGTCAAAAGTCACGGAAAAATTTCGCAAATTCTTTTGACCCTTTAATTTTTTGCATTATTGTACCTATTTCAAACAAAATTAATGGTGGCGTGGGTTGTAATCATCTCTGAAGGCTCTGAAGTTCATTTCATATATTTTAATGTGACTTATAAGTAAACGAAAATACCGAGTTAACAAAATCGACTAGGTTTTAAAAACGCGCCACATTTTTAAACGAAGCACTGTGCATATTCAGAAATTCACTGCAGGAATGTTAATGACAGTACATACATTTACTTATTATTGCCTCGTTAGCAGAAACGGCTTAACGTTTCCAAGTTAATAATAAAAAGTGAGCGTTAACCAGCTACAGGAGACTGCTAATTACTAAGTGATGGTGGTGTTGACCGACTTTCAATAACACTCACGATGCAGTGCGTGAGTTCACTGACATAGTCGCTTACAGCCTTGTTTATGCTTACAATCATGAAAGTCCTTTTATGGAAAAAAGGCACAACCTTAATTAGTAAAGTCGGGACTGTTGTATAGGGTGTGCCAATTTTGTCACTTATTGGAGAGGTTCTAATATTTTTCGAGGTGATGACAAAATGCAGTTAACACATCACATTGGTAAATATTAACGAGTCATTAATATTGGTGTGGCCAAGATTTAGGGAATTTTCGTTACCAGTACCAATGTTGGGTTGGATTTATGGAGGTGAAGGCTCTGTACAATTTTTAAAGTGAACATAGTAAGATACAAAAAAATAGACAAAAAGAAACTGTTTCTCCAAGTAAGATAATAGAAACAGTTCTCTATGTTTCAGATAAGCTGTTCAGCTTTGGCAACGCCAAAATCTTAAAACGGGAGTTCTATTTAAAAAATTAATACAAATTATTTATTTTGTTAGCCCATAATTTGTCCATGCATATGCACCACGGGTTAAATAGAATATAGGTAAACTGTTTTTTGAACCAATCAATAATACATCATTCGAGTACTTTTGTGGGTACACATGTTAGCAAATGACCCATTTTTAAGCATTACGTCAAGAGCGCCAGCAGGACGCTGCCGGACGTACCAGCGTTCCAGGAAGGGTCTACGGCGGTCTGGCGCCGGCGACCAGATACGGACTCATATACGTACGACCGACTCCACACACAGGGGACTCTCCAACGAACACTCACCCCGTCAACACGTCTTTTTCTATACAACTTAGTTTTCAATAAAATACTTTATTATTACCGTTGAGAGAGCGTTTTATTCTTGCTGTACAGCGAAAGCAACCCTCACTTTAAAACCCCTTATTTTATCAAACATCTAAAAAAATAAATGATTTATCTTGAATAAAACAACTTTTGAGTGCCGTTAACTATTCAAGGGAGCAAAATTATATAAATCGGTTTATTTTTATTTCCAGACACT